ATTTCTCAAGACTGCATCATGCACTGCTTCTCATATACCATCTCATATCCCATCATGCACTGCTTCCAGCAAGCAATTATGTTATTACATCGTGGGAAGTCCAGACATTGAGTTGTAATTCAGAAGGCAGGCTCTGTGAGTTGTGACACAAGGAAGTGCAATATCCCAGCGCTGAGTGAAATTGTGTCACTGCATTGAGGTAGAACATGGATCCTGTCTGCGTCTGAGCACGGACACCCGCACCCGCACGGATGTGCAGTTTGGGTGGGCGTACGGCGGCGTACTCCCATAGAGAAGAACAGGCTGCTGCGTACAATCATGCGCAAAACCTGTCCTTCCCGAGAGCGGCCCAATACGGCCGTGCACGCCGCACGGATCTGTACGAGCCAACTTTAAGCAGTGTGAATGAGGCCTTAAAAGACCAGCTTTGAAATGAAAAAGTGTTGTAGAATATAAAATGATGTAACTGCACCCTCCTTCTTTCCTGAAATAAATTGACCTTTGGTAGCACTGACACCCCCTGTTAAGTAATTACACAAGGCCATCAATTTAAAATCCTAGTGTTGAAGGCGATTGTTGAATGACACAGACTATAGTAACAATAATCACAGCAGATGAACTTGGTAATGCTAATAGTATCACAGCGTATTTGTGAAGCTGGAATGTTTGGTCCATTTAAAACAAATGTAATCTGGACCCAAGTTGGACTGCCCAATGGGTAGCAGTGTTATAACCACCCAACATCACATTAAATATCAAATGTATATATTTGATGACACTGAGTAGCAATTCAAACGCAACTGTTACATTTGGATAAAGTGACACTAAACTCAGGAGTTAAAGCTATAAAATACATTCAAGTACCTGAGCTAATAACAAAAATGTATCTCATTTGTGTACCACTCGGCTGTAGATCCTCAAATCATCTCTGAATTGGTGTTGACACTGCCCTTCCTTCTGGAGGGTGGCTACTTTTCTTCCCCATGGTCCCTGTGTGTGTTGTAAAGTAGCCACTGCTCCAAGCTCGCTCACATGATGGACTATAATCTCATGTTTAGTTTACTCATTTATATTGAGATTGTAGTCCATCATGGGAGTGAGCTTGGAGCTATGACTACTTTACAACACACACAGGGACCATGGGGAAGAAAAGTAGCCACCCTCCAGAAGGAAGGGCAGTGTCAACACCAATTCAGAGATGATTTGAGGATCTACAGCTGAGTGATACACAAATAAGATACATTATTGTTGAATTGATTTTTAAGGTTTAACTCCTGAATTTAGTGTCACTTTAAACAAAACTATTTAAGTTCATGTTTTATTTATATCATCTTTCATTTGTATTATCAAAGACAGAACGACCTATATAGGACATATGCTTAGCATACAAAGATGGAAATGCACTTGTACAATGATAGTTCTTATTGATATTTATTTAGCACAGATCAACAATCACCATATCATGCCAATGTTCACATAATCATTTGTAAAGGAAAACAAGACTATGTTTGACATTTTCTATGCAGCCTTTACATGTCTTCTAAATGCCGCTACTGCTTAGCAGGAAAACAAATATTTCTACATACATAGGTAGGTACTCTCAATAAACTCTGTAGAAGGAGCAGATTCAATGATTTTAAAATAATTAAATTCAGTGAAAAACACTGATCAAAATGTCCTTTCTGTTTATTGTACTCCCACACAAAATTCCTACAGTCTGGTATGATAATATTATGGTACAAGTTTAACCCAATCAGCTGTTACTTTTATTTTCCTGTGTTAACATCACACTTGTGCCCTAAGAGTAACTTTACACCTTATAATCACATAGTAAATGCCAACACATCAGTCTAATAGTAAAGCAAATATACCACCCCAGTCCATCCACTCATTTCAGGCAATGAAATTGCATTGAAGAACCCCAGAAGAACAGTATGTTGAAGAACAGTATGTCTGTTTTTATGTCTGGCAGTACTTCTGTTTGATTTTGGACATCAGTTAGGAGTAACAATGGGATACCATCCCCCTGTCCCAGTGTACTGTAGCGATAACTCCCCGCAAGGAGCCGCTGTTTGCCCGGTCCACATCTAGTCAGTCTAGGGGTTGATTCCCAGTTGCACCTATTAGCACTAACCGCCCTCTTCTGATGCCCATAAATTGATGTCCACTTCAGTGATATGATGCTAGTTGAACAGTTTATTGAACTTCTGATTAGGGAGAGAGGGTATAGGGGTTCTAGGTGTCTAGGCGTAACCATCATCAGCTCCAGACTCACCAGATCTTGTAACAGTGGGAAAGCATATCCACAATCCAAGAAAGAAACACTGATCACGCTCTGGAGTCCACATAGATCCAGGGCACTCCAAGAGCCTGTACTGGTCCTGGTTCTTTTCTTCTCTCCATCTCTCAGGCCTCCTCCATGTTGGAGGCCTCAGGGGAACATCTTCCCTCACTTCAGCCACAGCCCACCCCAGGCCTCGGCCTAGCCTGGGGGACAGGCTGAACAGGACCCAGCCCTAATCCATGGCTGGTCCAGGCGAGAGAGACCACATGGCAGCTCCCACCAATATATGTACACTGTGCCAGCAGGCACCACTAGCTGAAAGAAGCCCAGTGATTGGCCGCTGTACTGTACACATATTACAGTATCCACCACTGGCTGTCCCACAATATGACAGAGTCTCACTCCGCCCAGGGGGGTACAGACAAGGCTAGACACTTGGGATTAACCATGTAATTGCTACTACAAATCCAGCCAGGCTGTCCACAGCCCTGGCTATTACTAAATGCATGGTAGTCACATCACAAAGGGTGATGGGCGCTACAGTATAAATTGCCATCAATAGAAACTTTCCTTTAACTACAGGGTGCGGGGAACAAATGGGCAACCTTAACAATAGATACAAAAGCATCTCACAATGGAGGGCTGCATATAATATTATGTGAGCCTACTGTTGAAATTTTATTTGGCCGTAGGCCGTTGCTCCCTGTTATGTTTTCCTCACGGTGATCAGTGTTTTCACACAGCACGCCCTTCTGGTGAATTAAGAAGGGATCATATTTTGAAAAATGCTAAATCAGCACATTTTTATGAAACTAGAAAATGATTGGTTTATTATAGGACAAACTGCCTTGCTACCTACCCAACCACAGTACTGAATCTGAAGTATAATTCTATCTCATACGTATATGTTTTGAAATATATTATGCATAGATTTAAAAGTGAGGCTTAAACAGGTCATTGATTATCAGTTTCTTCAGTAAAGCTGGCCATACTCTAATAGATGTATTTTATTCAGGCTGCAAGCTCAACAAAAGACATCAGGTTCCTCCATCCACACTCTTTAGAATCCCCCTACTGAGTATTTCTGTGAATCGACCGAAATTCTAACAGTGTGTGGCCAGCTTAAGTAAAGCTGGCTATAGATAGATTTCTTAACTGTAGCAAGCAAGACAGCAAAGATTGATCTTCTTTCGTTTTACAGTTATTCACTTAGCATGTGGGCCTTTTTACCTTATAGCCAACAATTACCGCTCACTATCATTCCCATACTTCCTACTGCAATTAGAGACACAGACTCCACCACTCAACTTTGACTGTTACCTTCTGCTGAAGTAGCCTAGGTTTCTGCTCAATAGCTTGATATGGCTAGTGTTAGATTAGACATAGATGGGCAGATCTCTCCTACAACCACAATGGTCAAGGGAGACATCTGCCCTTTTTTAAAAGCACTGGAACCCTCACTGGGACATACTGATCGACTTGGTACTACACAGTACACCGATTAGATTACCACACAGCCTTGGTGTGAACAAGCCCTAATCAGTAGATTATGCATATGCATTAGAAGTTTTTACAGATAGCAGTGAGAGGGACAAGGGGAGACGTCTATCAAGCAAATTAGTCACACAATTAGTCACCGTTCACATATGGGTGTCTCGTGAATGCGTGTCAAACGCACCCTGTGACACGCATTCATGAAACCTGTACAAATGTGGAACGCACTTGCTTTGCCATTACTAGGTAATGGCATCCCAAACGTGGGCGAGTGGATGTGTTTTTTCAAGTGTGGAAAAAACACGGAACACATGTCCCTGAAATTGCGACATGTACTTCTTTCCAGTGTTTGGTGCGCATCCAGGGAACCAATGGAGATCAATAGGGACCCGCCAAGCACAGGAAACAAATGTCCTTGAACGTACAGCAACGTGCGTCACCGCAGCGCCCGTGATGCTATGGTGTGGATGGGAGCTTAGCTGCAAATCAAGCCACCTCTTTGTCAGAGAAGTCTCTGTGATAGGTTTACAGACCCCTGTGTCTGAATTCCTGGGCAGCCAAGAGCAACAGTTTGCAGAATTCTAAGACAGTTATCACTGAAGATGGGAGAGATTTTCACTGGACACAGACATATAATTAAGAAGTGTTCGGGGTCAGGTTTTATTCTGTCACAGAGCTACTTTGGAGCATCTGAAGGAGGAATTTATAGCTCAAGCTATAACCTTGTAATAAATCAATATGGCATGCTGACGCTGTTTAGCATCTTCTTGCTGTGTGTCAGAATTTATAAAAGTCCCACATTGTAGATTGCTGGCATTTATTTACCTGTATACATGTATTTACTAGTTGTGTAACCCTTCTATGTATGTATAAATTGTCAGTTCCTATGACATGCAATTAATGGACTTTGATTTTAATTTCTGTGTATGAGGAGCCCACTAAACACAGAAGAGCCCCAGGCCCCCTAGGATAACATGACACATACATAGTCAGGTCACCTCACAGGGACCAGGTGGTGTGAATGGAGTCTACACTATTGTGTGTGTATATACAGTTTGTCCCCGGGAGAGGGAGGAGAGGTACACATGAATGAGCCGGGGAGGGGACAGTGGGGAGGGACTGTCACACCAGGGTAAGGTTACTAAGTTTTTTACAGCTGAAGAGAGTACAGACAGGACAGACACAGGGCTGGGGACATGGCTGTGTCAGAGGATTCAGTAGCTCTTTAGAGGAGCTGACTATTCCCGGGTCATTCTTATCCTTCATGTGCTGGAGGAAAGCTGAGCACCATGATAGAGGTATACATCCCCTCCATAGGACATCAAGTGATGAAGGCTGACAAGACTCGTACGGTATGTCTCTTTGTACAGTATGTCTCTTCGTATTGTATGTTCCTTTGTACGATATGTCTCTTTCTGCATTGTCTATTTGTGTGGTGTGTCTCTTTGTGCGGTGTGTCTCTTTGTGCGGTGTGTCTCTATGTGCGCTGTGTCTCTTTGTACGTCATGTCTCTTTGTACGTTATGTCTCTTTGTACGTTATGTCTCTTTGTACGTTATGTCTCTTTGTACGTTATGTCTCTTTGTACGTTATGTCTCTTTGTGTGTTATGTCTCTGTGTACGGTAGGTCTCTTTGTGCGGTATGTCTCTTTGTGCGGTATGTCTCTTTGTGCGGTATGTCTCTTTGTGTGGTATGTCTCTTTGTGCGGTATGTCTCTTTGTGTGGTATGTCTCTTTGTGTGGTATGTCTCTTTGTGCGGTATGTCTCTTTGTGCGGTATGTCTCTTTGTACCGTATGTCTCTTTGTACCGTATGTCTCTTTGTACCGTATGTCCCTTTATAAGGTACATCTGTTCTTATGGTGCTTCTCTTCAGGTGGTACATCTCTTTGTATGGTACGTCTCTTTGTATGGTATGTCATCTCATGGTACATCTTCTCTCATGATATGTCTCTTCATGTGGTACGTCTCTTCATACTTTATGTCTCTTTGTTCTGTATGTCTTATCATTTGTTATGTCTCTTTATACAGTACTTCTCTTCGTTTGGTATGTCTATTCTATCCTGGCTTACCCCGAGGCATGCAGCTCATACCTTGTCCTTTGGGCTCTTTGTCTGTCATTGTAACCCCTGAGGGGAGGACAGCCATTCACCTCGCATATATCTACATTTGGCTGGAAAACTTTGAATTGAACACGCATTATGTGAGATGTGATCTGCTGAAAGTGGAAGTGTGTGTGTGTCTCCATGACAAGACCTGTGTGTAGACTTTGATCAGTGTTAGATTGTGTAATGTATAGGTTGATGCCAGGTTCATTGCTGTGCTGACCTCTAGTCTGAATTGTCAATGGAACCTTGTAAAATATTATATGACTTCCCAAAGGAAATACTGGAGGATAGTCTAAAGGCAGCCACACACCTATTCATGAATCTTTCAACTGATCATTCTTTGCAACTCAGATGATCAGAACGCATAGAAAACTATCCAGGCTAAAGCTAGCCATACACTGTACAATTTCTCTCATTCTGCCTGCTAAACAGCATGGATGAGGGGAATATCCCCTGCCAGATCTTGTATCCTGAGAGTCGGTGTCCTCAGTGGTCTGAATACCCCAGCTGTTTGGCTACAGTCACTGTTTGTCCGACAATTTTTGGTCTGGCTCAACTTTTTTTGAATGAAGTGATGCTGGTGGGGCCACTACAGCATGAATTTGGAGCAGTGTATGGCCAGCTTTATTTTCCTCTGGTACATGGTATATTGTGCGGTATGTCTCTTTGTGCGGTATGTCTCTTTGTACCGTATGTCTCTTTGTACCGTATGTCTCTTTGTACCGTATGTCCCTTTATAAGGTACATCTGTTCTTATGGTGCTTCTCTTCAGGTGGTACATCTCTTTGTATGGTACGTCTCTTTGTATGGTATGTCATCTCATGGTACATCTTCTCTCATGATATGTCTCTTCATGTGGTACGTCTCTTCATACTTTATGTCTCTTTGTTCTGTATGTCTTATCATTTGTTATGTCTCTTTATACAGTACTTCTCTTCGTTTGGTATGTCTATTCTATCCTGGCTTACCCCGAGGCATGCAGCTCATACCTTGTCCTTTGGGCTCTTTGTCTGTCATTGTAACCCCTGAGGGGAGGACAGCCATTCACCTCGCATATATCTACATTTGGCTGGAAAACTTTGAATTGAACACGCATTATGTGAGATGTGATCTGCTGAAAGTGGAAGTGTGTGTGTGTCTCCATGACAAGACCTGTGTGTAGACTTTGATCAGTGTTAGATTGTGTAATGTATAGGTTGATGCCAGGTTCATTGCTGTGCTGACCTCTAGTCTGAATTGTCAATGGAACCTTGTAAAATATTATATGACTTCCCAAAGGAAATACTGGAGGATAGTCTAAAGGCAGCCACACACCTATTCATGAATCTTTCAACTGATCATTCTTTGCAACTCAGATGATCAGAACGCATAGAAAACTATCCAGGCTAAAGCTAGCCATACACTGTACAATTTCTCTCATTCTGCCTGCTAAACAGCATGGATGAGGGGAATATCCCCTGCCAGATCTTGTATCCTGAGAGTCGGTGTCCTCAGTGGTCTGAATACCCCAGCTGTTTGGCTACAGTCACTGTTTGTCCGACAATTTTTGGTCTGGCTCAACTTTTTTTGAATGAAGTGATGCTGGTGGGGCCACTACAGCATGAATTTGGAGCAGTGTATGGCCAGCTTTATTTTCCTCTGGTACATGGTATGGTATGACTGCAGCGCACCATTATCTGATTCTACAGCTTGCATATGTGAACATAGTCATTGTTCTTTACATACATTCATTGCTCTGCATTATCTTATTAAATGAGCCCAAATTGTTTGGCTGATATCGGCCACATAAATAAAGGAATCACAAAGCTTTATCATGTAAACATAATGCAGACAACAGTGATAATCATGAGCTGTAGGTTGGCCAACTAGGGATGGGTTCTCTGGATTGTAGGTCTTTTTCTTAGCAATTTATGTTTTACTTATTCTCTTGTGGTTGAGCTCCATGGACATATGTGTTGTCTTCAGTGTAGCTGACTATGTAACAAAGATGGTCAGATGTTTCAGAGATAACAATGGGAAGTGAGACTTTTCAATGAATGACGCATTAGCCTCCAGGGCTTGCTGTGATCGTCTTTCTAATTCACACATGCAGGGAAAGCTTTGTTCCCCTTTCTCTGTGGAGAACAATTAGTTATGGGTTGTGAAGAAATTTTGCCAGCATGTGGGAAAATATGTTTGTGCAGATGTGATCACGTTTGAGGGTTGGAAGTGCTAAGCCTGATTTTGCTGGTCATGCTTGAACTGGTTGCATTGCTTGCTTTCATCAGATCAGGATATGTATGGGCATTGATTCTTCTATACTACACACACTTCAGCCCTGATTCACATCTGAGTATTTTGTGGCTTGAAGATCAAAGCTCCAAAACACCTAATAACTAAAATCTCATGCTTTGAAATTGTGCCTGTTCACATATCAGCACTCATATGTGTAGCTTGTTGTCGGAAGCTTAAAAAGGTACAAGAACTACTTTTGAAGCAGAATGGGATATTTTTGGCCCAATAGTTTGCAATGGAAGTGCCTGAAAAGGCCTGAAAATGAGGCTTAACAACCATCTCCTTCTCCTAATAGCTAGCTTTCCATTGGCCTAAAAGCGCTAGAAAAAAGAACAAAAAGCACGAAAATGCCCAGATAAAAATGCTACAAAATCTCCAGGAAATTCTCATGGTGTGAAAGCAATCAGTACAGGAACATTGTGCCCTTCATCTGGAGAAGATTACCAGGCCTGCTTCAACACTTGGAGTCTCTGTCTACAAATGTTATGCCAAATACTAGCTTGTCTTTGGCTGTATAACCAAGATTTAAATGTTCCTTATGACCACCTATACACTGATTGCATGCGTTTAATAGGTTGGTCCACTCAAAACTGCTGTACATACTGAACAGTTTGACTTCTTATGTCTGTAAATACCTTAATTGATAAGATTTGTTCCCAGGTTTGCACACGTGTCTTTACAGTTGTTAGGCAATCCCAGTCACTGTTGGATTTTCTTTGCCTTGTTGGATTTTCTTTGCCTCGTTGGATTTTTGTGTGTGTTATATTATGAACAATGTGACAAGGTGAATAAAGACACCCCTGTTTTAGCAAGCGCGAGAGTGAGATTTTCAGATAAACAGAACCAGGAGCTACAGCTGAGAGATCAGTCCTCTGAAATTCCTAAAAGATGTGATAAGCCATTAAATGACCCATCTTATCATACTCCAACTTTAGCTAAAATATAACTTTTCAATGGACCAACCCTTTAAAAGTATGGAAATCTACATAGTGGTAATCTTTACCACTGATCAAAGACTGGTCTTAAATGCAAGATAGCTTTTAGACATTTGAGTTTTATCTGTCCGCTAAATTATAATTCTTAATTAGTAGTTGTGTAAACTTCCTGCAAATAACTTGTGGGTCCCACTTTGGTTCCTTGGGAAGCTACTGCACCTCCATTTAAATGCTCAGCCCTCATATCAGAATCCTGCCCTGTTCTTAAGTGTACTCATATATCATTTGTTGGCCGCATTGCTGATCTGAAGTTCAGGTACACTCCAGCACAACTGTGATTTTAGCAGTTAGTACAAATTCTGCTCAGTGCATGGCATGAACATTGCTTGAGCAAATGGATATCTTGATGCCTGTGAGCAACAGTTTTTGGCCTGTGAATCCTGATTGCCACTTTGGTTATGGCCTGCCTTGTTCTTCTTATTGAACACCTGCACTAACTCCATCGCTTTTTTGGATAACATTCCTGCTTGACAGTCTGGTACCTCACTTTGGTTAACTGTTCACTTATCAAGTGGTGCCAGATAAACAAATCTACTACTAGGGAGTGTTATGCAGTGAAATAATTAACTTCTGGCAGGGTTCCTGGCCACGCTGAAGCCCCCTTAGGGCCCATTTACATTAAGCTAGCCATGCACTGATAGAATTTCATTTGAATGTTGGTTTTAAATCATCAGCCAAAACCTTCGATCTTGGCATCATTGAGGCAACTAATTTTGTTTGAAAGCCCCTAAACATTTTGTCTAGACCTCCTACTTGAATGTTATTCTAGGTGTATTAAACAGGTTTTCTTTTGTGCCCAGCACATGTGCATTACCTGCTCCTTCAATTTTCCTCTTCACTACTGTGAAAAATTAACATTGATTAGACCCCACTGACCATTTGAAAATTGAATGAATGTTCTGAACATTGCTACTACTAATTCCACTAGTGTATGGCCAGCTTTAGTCTTCTAGACATGCATCAATGAGGAAAAAGAC